ATCTAGCCTTCTTCCCTCCCCTCCTGCTGTTATTTGGTGTACTTTTGATCTGATTTAAAGGGGAGAATAATGATAGCATTGCTGGAAGTCTCTTGAAAGAGCGTCTTTGATCTGTTACTTTGTTGTCTCTGAGCAACATTTTAATTGACTTCACTTTGTCCACTAGTCACAAAGTCCAAGATATGAGTTCTGGGAAAATATTTATTTGACAAGATTTTGAATAGAAGAAACAGAGAGCCCTGTACTCACGTATTACTTTACTTTCCAATGTTACAAGGAAGGAAAAATTCATTTTTTTATAAATATATATGCTTTAATTGGAAAATCATTACTCCCAGAATCTTCACATAAATTATACACGAGTGATTTTTTTACATGAATCATTACATGAATCTTTGAGAATGTAAAATTTTTGGAAAATAATCTAATTTGAAACAATGCAGCATTTAAATGTTTACATATTCCTACATATCAAATTAGATTATTTCAAATAATCTAATTTGAAACAATGCAGCATTTAAATGTTTACATATTCACTACAATTTATAGAGGATTTCTCATTATCAAAATTGCTTAAGAAACATTTTCAGTGTCTGAAGGTTTTATTTTAAATATCTAATATTTGAGGATAACAAGTTTGGAAAGTCTATATGATCTGTTTCTTGTCAGACATTAAAAGTACATTAAAAGCTCTGGTTTAACATATAATTTAAAAAATTGAATAACTTTATCTTTTCACTACTATTTTAATTGCTTTGCGTGTAGGTGACTGCTCTTGATCCCTACACTGCATATGGTGTATTACCAGAGCACAGAACCAGAAGTAAGGTTTGAGCCTGCTGGGTGTGGCCCGCCAAAAAACAAAAAATCCAGCACCCCTGGAATAGTTTTCACAGCATGAACATTCAATCACATCAAGAATAAGAACATTAACAGCACCTAAGTAACCTCTGCTTCAAAGACTAATTATTGGAGATTACTTAAAATGAAACAGATCAATTTTGCTAATATTGAACTTTTAAAAAGAGGATTATGAATTCTGTAACATTGTAGCACTGTCCTTTCATTGTTCATCCATTTGCTTTAGTGGGCACCAGTAACTTCTCTATTGTGTGTTTTTACTGTTTTGAGCTTACTGAATTTGCCATGGGGAGCTTGCCAGGCTCTGCCATGTGGGCGGGATACTCTTGATAACTTGCCGGGCTCTCTGAGAGGGACGGAACAATCCAACCCAGGTCACCAGGGCAAGACAAATGCCCTACCCGCTGTGCTATCGCTCCAGCCCTATGAATTCTACATTACCTATGATCTAATTTATGTCAGTAGTAAATTTTAAATTATCTTGCTCTCTGTTAGCATTACAAAAACTTTTAATATCATTTACTGTAGAAAAAAATGAGGATATGTTTCTGTATATTATGTTGGATACTGTAATGCAGAAAATTTAGATATTCAATTTCTTGCTAATAAGTTCATTAAATTCTCTAAATTCATGCAATAGATACAGTAATAGGTCAACATGCACTTAAAAAGGTCCCCATTAATCTGTTTATTAGTAATTCAATTATGCTATTAATATAAATTTAATGATGCATGAAACTGAAAAATATAAGTGTAAGTAGGAATTAATTGAATAAAGACTTATAGTGGAATTGGAAAATAATTAATTATCCATTCATTTATCCTTTTTTTCCTGTTTAGGTTACTGAAGATACAAGTATTTTTGAAAGTCAATGAATGACACAAATTATTCTCGGGTAACTGAATTTGTGTTGCTTGGACTCTCCAGTTCCAAGGAGCTACAACCAATATTGCTTATCATATTTTCAATACTCTACCTGTCAATACTTCTGGGAAACTCTCTCATCATTCTCACTGTGACCTCAGATTCCCGCCTTCATACCCCCATGTACTTTCTCCTTGCAAACCTCTCTTTTATAGATATATGTGTTGCCTCCTTTGCTACCCCCAAAATGCTTTCAGATTTTCTAGTTGAACGCAAGACAATTTCTTTCAATGCCTGCCTGACCCAAATTTTCTTTGTTCATCTTTTCACTGGTGGTGAAATGGTGCTCCTTGTATCCATGGCTTATGACCGCTATGTCGCCATATGCAAGCCTCTCCATTACATGACAATCATGAGCCGCCGCGTGTGTATCACCCTTGTTCTCATCTCCTGGTTTGTTGGCTTTGTCCATACCACTAGCCAGTTGGCATTTACTGTTAACTTGCCCTTTTGTGGTCCTAATCAGGTTGACAGTTTTTTCTGTGACCTCCCTCTTGTGACTAAGTTGGCCTGCTTAGACACTTATGTTATCAGCTTACTAATAGTTGCGGACAGCGGCTTTCTTTCTCTGAGCTCCTTCCTTCTCTTGGTTGTCTCTTACACTGTGATCCTTATCACTGTTAGGAGTCGCTCCTCTGCCAGCATGGCCAAGGCTCGCTCTACACTGACTGCTCACATCACTGTGGTCACACTATTCTTCGGACCTTGTATTTTCATCTACGTGTGGCCCTTCAGCAGCTATTCGGTGGACAAAGTCCTTGCTGTATTCTATACCATCTTTACTCCCATTTTAAACCCAGTTATTTATACTCTAAGGAACAAAGAAATGAAGTCAGCTATGTCAAAACTGAAGAGTCGATACCTGAAGCCTGGTCAGGTTTCTACACTCATGAGAAGTGTTCTTTTTCTAGAAACAAAGTAAGCATACAGTACCATTATTTATCACTGTACCACTGTGTCTATACAATTGAAAATGAAACCATCTTAACGTTAAAGTGAGCCCTTATGAGCACTGAGAAGATCCGATTAACATGAGATTAAAAAAATCATTTAATGATAATGTTAAAAGTAATAGAATGAGTCAGGATTTTTCTTTTCCTTTTTTTCCTGGCTTTTTGGGTCACACCTAGTGATACTCAAGGGTTACTCCTGCCTCTGCACTCAGGAATCACTAATGGAGGTGCTCAGGGCACCATATGGGATGCAGGGAATGAAACCCAGGTTGGCAATGGGCAAGGCAAATGCCATACCTACTGTACTATTGCTCAGGCCCTTGTTTCTATCTTTTTTTTTACTTTTATTTAAAATGTTATTTGATTGGTTTGTTTTGGGGCCACATCTAGTGATGCTCAGGGGTTACTCCTGACTGTGAAGTCAGAAATTTCTTTGGCGGTGCTTGAGAGTCTGTATAGTCTATATCGCAGGAATAAACTTAGGTTAGCCAAGTGCAAGGTAGCGCCTATCTGCTACACTATCCCCTGGTCCTAAAATGTTATTTTAATATGTAGACTTTGTACACATTGAAGTATGCCATTACTCATAAGTGATAAATGTATTCCCTTCTCCTTCTCCAAAATAGTCCTGCTGAGATGCAATTTTGTAATAAGAATAATACATATCTCTTTAAACTAATGATAGTAGATAAATTTACATATATTATATAAAATTAATGATATGCAAGTCTAAATATGGATTTCTATTTTGCTACACAATTCACTGTACAAGGAGACAACTCTTTAATTGGTATCATGAAATAGAAAAATTTAACTGAATTGAAAATCCAGAAGAAGATATTAATTCTTGTCACTTTTACAAATTTCTTTAAATTGGCTGCATAACTTATATCAAATATGGAAAATAAATAATTAAATATGTTAACATACCAGTGTGGTGCATTTAATTAAATAAGTTTCATTAAATGCTTGTCAAAGAATCTGGGGGAATTTTAAAAATATCAGTATAATTCTCTATCTTCATAATTAACAGACCCTGAATCTTATTATAAACTATCTCTCAAGGTCTTCTTGATTCATGGTTTCTCAAATGGACAGTTAATTAGATGTCATCATTTTTGTATATGGACTACTTTTATTTGGGCAATGTTTAATTTTATATTGTAGTATGGATCCAAAATGACAAGACACTATTTCAAAGCCTTTGAGATAGTTGTGTTACCTATCTTCCATTCTTACTTATAGAGCTCATTATTTTTCTAATTCTCTATATCAGCTTATTTTTCTTTCTTTTTATTATATTTAATATTTTTCCTGTTTTATAATATATTCTAATTTCCTAGTCTATTATAGTTGCTTTAATTCTTTATTCTTGAGTATCCTAAAAAGATTCTTAAAAATTTTTTATTTAAACTAAATATCAATTTATTATGAAATTATCAAATAAAAGTAAACATAAATTGTGTGTGATGTATGTGATCATCAAAATATGTGCATTTTGTACATTATGTACATTAAAAATGTATTCAAACTTTTAATGATATAAAACTAGCAGAATCCCATAGTGTTTATGAAACTTTTAAAACAGTGATAAACTAATAGCACAATATTGCGCGAATTATAACTTAATTCACACTTCACAGCAAGACATATACAAAATTTTATACTTATTTTACATATTAAAATGTCTCTATGAGATGTTTATACTCATTTTACGCATGATAAAAACAAGTGATAAGCCTTTTGAGTGAGTGACAGAGTGGTTTCATATGTTTGAAACCACTGTTTATTTTTGCCCATAATACCACAGTTTTGAATGTACTACTGTCTAGTGCAGTAGCCTGTAACAAGTGCAGAAAATTAATTTCTTCACATTTTTCTCACATGTCTTTTCAACTTAGAAAATGGGAAATATTTTACTAAGTGAGCACCGAGTCTAAAGATTGTTCTTGCATTTTTTGCACCATTACTGATACTACAACAGCATGGGGAAACTAAGTGACAGTTCACTTGGATGAAACAAAAGGAATAAAATAAAACAAAGAACATTTCTCACCAATACTGTATGCTATGTAATGAATTGGCCCTGTGAATTAGTCTTGGAAGTTTTATTTGAAGTCATCTTAATGTTGATATTATGAAAATAATGTAGAGAACTGAACAATGGCAGGTAGTTTCTCACAACTGCTCCAAGTCCTTTCCTTTACTTACACTGACATATTTAATCATCTCAAAAATAAGGTAGATTACCATTTTCTTTCTGGGATGTTGGGACCAACGATCACTAGTTACCGACTGCCAAAATATTATGCTTCTGAAATCTCTTGATGTCAATTCCACGTGTACAGCAAGTTGCCCCACACATGACACTCATTGAAGAAGTCTTTTGTTTTAGAGATTCTTCCCATTTTCAGACAGGAGGGGTTTGAAACAAAGAGATTGAATGATGCGTCACAGGTCACAGAGATAGTGAAGACAGTCAAAATTTGAATTGAGGCAGTCTGGTTGCCAACCTATACCCTTAACACTATTCTATTCTGCTTCTACATTTTAGAATAAGTATATGAGGAAATAAGAAATTATTACACGATTACATTGTAACCCTAATCTGTTTTTTGATACACATCTGGGTTTTTTTTTATTAGCTTTTGTGTTTTATCAAAAGAAGTATGATTGGGGATATTCAAGTTTTATTTTTTTTTCGTTTTATTTTTCTTTGGGGTGCAACACCCCTATGCGCCTAAGCCTCTGTCCTATAGCTGTGACCTAAGATTTTCTTAACTATTTTATTTATAGCTGTATAGCCAAGGTCAATTTATTATTTTTACCCTGGAAAGGACAATGGGCTCAAGTGACATTTACAAATTGAATAAAGTTTTTATTGTAGCACTTCTATCATATTTTGTCATTAGATCAGGAGCATTAGGACTATAAGCAATACTGGGAGAAAAAACATACATAGCTTTTGTGGGACCATTGGTATCATTAATATTATTTCAACCTTAGAAAACTAAAAATGTCCAGGACTGATTCATTCTGTAATCCACAAAACTCATGAAATTCTTCTTCCTTCATTGAGTATGTTCTTGATATGTTTGTCTTACTACTCTGAGTATGATGCTGATTTAGTTGCTTTGTGTTCTTGAGGCATAAATGATTGTGCAAAGAATTCAAGTTCCCTACTTAGTCTAAGTCCTTATTTTGTAAGATTTTTTCCCCATTTTTGTCTATAGGTCTGAGAAGTATGCAGAAGATCACATTTCTGTAAAGATTACAGACCATACTTGGCAGAAATGCATCCAAAGGTCTGCCTCTGTGGGAAAAGTATACCAAAAAAGACACACAAGTGTGCCAAATCTGCAATAAAATATTGTGTTACTAGTATAAGCTAGCCGTGATGTATTCGATATGCCAAACACAGTAACAACAAAGTCTCCAATGGAGACATTACTGGGCCCGCTCGAGCAAATTGATGAACAACGGGAGGACAGTGACAGTGACAGTGACAGTATAACACCGTAATAAATAAAAGAACAGTGTACATAAATAGTGCTGAATTTTGAAGATCTTTTACTTGGTGGAAAGTTTAAGTATACAAGTATACTTAGACACTCATGCACATTTATTCTTGCTTTCAGTTGATATATCCATAATAAACTGACACCATTTAGCTCAAACAACTTTATACCTTTGCAGTAATAGCAATATAGAATTCCTTTAAGGCATACTAAAAATGAATATTAAATCAGTTATAACAGACTATAAAAACTAAAGCAAAGTAAAAATAATAGGAAAATATTTGAAGACTCTGAAAGAGAAAGAAATAAAGTAATCTGCAGCAGCAACTTTTAGAAAACCCCAGTCTCTAATTAATAATTGAGAGATAGGTGATGAATATCCCCAACCTCATTTTAATGAGTTTCCGTCATCTTCTAGACATGCTTCGAACTAGAAACATATTATGAAAATGAAAATACTCATATAAAAATGATCATATCTAAGAGATCTTAATATCATAAAACTACCTTTTCTGAGAAAACATGAATTATCTCCTCTGAGTCTAAAAACGGAGGAGACAGGGTTTATGCTGACTCAGGATCCTGTCATTATGATGGTAGTGAATTATACCAGAATTTAAAGTTCTCCTGATTATTTTATAAGTAACACGCTGTCCTCCCATTGTTCATTGATTTGCTCGAGTGGGCCCAGTAACGTCTCCATTTTTTTGAGACTTGTTACTGTGTTTGGCATATCAAATACGTCATGGGTAGCTTGCCAGGCTTTGCTGTGCTGGCGAGATACTCTCGGTAGCTTGCTGGGCTCTTCGAGAGGGGTGGAGGAATAGAACCCAGCTCGGCCAGGCTGGCTGTGAGCAAGGCAAATGTCCTACTGCTGTGCTATCGCTCCAGCCTATTTTATAAGTATTAAATAGAAATTAAATTAACCTAATGAAAATAAAATGGTACATAAATTCAATCATTGATTTATTTTCTATGTGTGAAGTGTATTAGGGATAAACACTAAAGATTATGCGAAAATGTTGAAAATAGATACTCTCTCTTGAATATGGTCATGGTCACAGTACCCTCATTGTTCATCAATTTGCTCGAGCGGGCCCAATAATGTCTCCATCGTGAGACTTGTTGTTACTGTGTTTGGCATATTGAATACATCATGGATAGTTTCCCAGTCTTTGCCTTGCGGGTGGGATACTCTAGGTAGCTTGCTAGTCTCTCTGAGAGGGGCAAAGGAATCAAACGTGACTCGGCTGGCTGGCTGCATGCAAGGCAAACGCCCTACCACTCCAGCCACTTACATTTTTGTTATAATATAAAAACAGTAATAGAATTGTTATCATGTGTAATCTGTTGTGCAATAGTGTGGAAAGTCCATTCTTACATCAGAAAATAATTTATTGTATAAAATGTATGGCTATTTACCTAGTATCCATTAGGGCATATATATATGTATATATATACATATATATATTATTATTACTACAATATTGCAACTAAGTAGGACTATTTTTGAGAGGAAGAAAAAAACTTATTTATTTACTATGATAAGTAAATGGCATTTCTCAATATGTACAAAGTCTACATATTAAAACAGCATTTTAAATAAAAAGATGTGAGATACAAATGCAAAAAAATTAACTGGAGGAAGACCATTTAAAATTAGCAAGATTATTTCTGTGACTTTTTACATTACCATTAAATGACTCTTTAATAGAAATTTCTTAATCAACTTTTCCAGAGGTTAAAATGATTAGCTTTAATGTCAAAGTGACTTTACTTGCAACTGTTTAGACACTGTGATATTATATAATTACAATAATAATGGTACTGCATGTTTACTTTGTTTCTAGAAAAAGAACACTTCTCATGAGTGTAGAAACCTGACCAGGCTTCAGGTATCGACTCTTCAGTTTTGACATAGCTGACTTCATTTCTTTGTTCCTTAGAGTGTAAATAACTGGGTTTAAAATGGGAGTAAAGATGGTATAGAATACAGCAAGGACTTTGTCCACCGAATAGCCACTGAAGGGCCACACGTAGATGAAAATACATGGTCCGAAAAATAGTGTGACCACAGTGATGTGAGCAGTCAGTGTAGAGCGAGCCTTGGCCATGCTGGCAGAGGAGCGACTCCTAACAGTGATAAGGATCACAGTGTAAGAGACAACCAAGAGAAGGAAGGAGCTCAGAGAAAGAAAGCCGCTGTCTGCAACTATTAGTAAGCTGATAACATAAGTGTCTATGCAAGCCAACTTAGTCACAAGAGGGAGGTCACAGAAAAAACTGTCAACCTGATTAGGACCACAAAAGGGCAAGTTAACAGTAAATGCCAACTGGCTAGTGGTATGGACAAAGCCAACAAACCAGGAGATGAGAACAAGGGTGATACACACGCGGCGGCTCATGATTGTCATGTAATGGAGAGGCTTGCATATGGCGACATAGCGGTCATAAGCCATGCACACGAGGAGCACCATTTCACCACCAGCAAACTGATGTACACAGAAAATTTGGGCCAAGCAGGCATTGAAAGAAATTGTTTTTCGTTCAACTAGAAAATCTGCAATCATTTTTGGGGTAGCAAAGGAGGCAACACACATATCTATGAAAGAGAGGTTTGCAAGGAGAAAGTACATGGGGGTATGAAGGCGAGAATCTGAGGTCACAGTGAGGATGATGAGAGAGTTGCCCAGTAGTATTGCTAGGTACAGTATTGAAAATATTACAAAAAGGAAAGGTTGTAGTTCCTTGGAACTGGAGAGTCCCATTAACACAAATTCCGTCACCCGAGAATAATTTGTTTCACTCATTGGCTTCCAAAATGACTTATCGTGAGTTACCTATATAGGAGAAAGACAGATCAATAGATAAAGTGTACATAGGTCTTGATGTCCCTAGTCTGATATCTTTTTTGACTCACCCAATGGTGCTCAGGGCTTCTTGATGTTTCTGAGCTCAGAGATCATTCTTGGAAACCTCAGCGAATCACGTGGAGTGCCAGGGATGGAACCCAGTGGGCAGTGTGCAAGGCAAGTGCTAACTAGCTGAATCATCTCGCCAGCCCCTTCTCCTGGAGTCTTACAGATTCTAGTTCTAATCAAATTTATGTTTATTTGTAAGTATGCCTAAATAGAATTAATACTTATCAATAAAATCAAGGCAAGTATAGCTGGAACAGCATAGAAAACAAAACTCTTCCAAAAATGCAATTATTGGTAGACTGATAGAGAAATTTTCAGCCCATACAAAACATTAATTATATAAATTTTAAAAGTTATGCAATTTACGATAGAAAATTCCAAATACATATCTGAAATGTTGTTTTTATATCACTGAATTCTAATATAATCTACAGGGGAAAGTATTGCTTTCCAAAATAAGAATACTTAATAAGAGGAAAACATTTGATCTCTCCAGAAAGAAACAGATTTCTACAAATATAACATGCAAAATATAGGACAATAAAAAGTCTATGTCGCATTTTTTTATTTAAGTAAAGTTTGAAGACAGATAATTTATAGCATTAGAAACTAGGCTAGTGGTTTTCTTGAATGCATAAAAGGACACAGCAAAAACACTTCCAAAAGACATTTGTGTCCCTTTGTTCATAGCACTACTCAGGATGAGAAATACCTGGAAACAACCTAAGAGCCAAAGAACAAATGGCACTTTTGTTAATTAGTATATGAATAATTTTACGATATATAAAGTTATATAAATATTTATTAATAATATAATAATTAATATAGCACTTTTGTATAATTCTTACACACTACAAGAAAATGTGGTATATATACACAATGGAACGCTACTCAGATACAAGAAATAGGAAATCATGCTTTTTGCCACTACATGGATGGAACTGGAAAGTG